TTTTCTTCTTTTTACTAGTTACAAGTCCATAATTTAATAGAAATTAAAAATATCAAATTATGATATAAATCCATGGAACACTCCTAATGCACAAGATCTGTTCATACAATGCAAACACTTAAACATGAGCCAAAAAATTTATATTGCCAATAATATTCTTAAGATGACACTTAAACTTACTAACAAAGGTTTTCCATTTAACGATTCACTTTTAGCATCATTGACCCGTAACTCTCCCATTATCAAGAATCACTAATCAATTTTTTAAATTTTATGAGATCAGCATCAACCAAAGCTTGAACTGTATCCTTGAAGGCAATACAATCTTCTATGGAATGTTCTTCAACCCCATCATGAAATGACACTTAACATTTGCATTATACCACTTCCATATAGAATGGGGAGAGAATCTAACTGTTTTCTTTTCTTGGGTAATTTTTAGGTAACAGGTTAACTAAGAGTCCTAGGATTTAACGATGGTGCAAAGGTTTGGACTTATGCAATTGACTAAATAGGTGGTTGGAGAATGGAAGGCCGAAGATTTTGGTTCAAATATGGACTTCTTGGAGATTGTATGAAGTTTTGAGGCCTAATCATAAATGTTTAGAAGGGAGGCTGAAAACAGTCATGAGAAGGATTTGAATGCAAGTTTGAGCTTGAAATAATTAGTTAAGGCTGCACAGAACCTGGTAATCCCATCTTAGAAATCAAATTATAGAGCTCAGATACTTGAATGGTCAAATCACTCATCCCTTTCATGATCTTGTCCAGATTTTCATTATTGCTCAAACCATTAAATGATTCAGCAAGCTTTGAAAGTATGCTAGGCGTAGCGGGAATTGGTTGATCATGATCCATGAATTCATAAGACTTGCTTGAGCTGAGATTGGTAAAAACTCTTGAAAAGGCATAAAAATAATTTTCTTAAGTCTATTCATAGTCTTCATTAACTCAATGAGCTGTTGTCACCTCTTGAATGCCATAGCCAAACTTCTCTTGATTGTGTTCTAACACACTAATTTGGGCCTCCAATTGATCTTTCATATTTTTAGCTTCTTATACCCACTAAGAAAAATATTATCTCAAGGGTTTAATACCAACAATGCTTATGCTGTCATTTTTGTTGAATGAACAACACAATTCCTAATTTGCATGCAACATGTCTATAAATGCTTGAATACGATAATGATGCAAAGATATATACAAAAATGGAATAACCTAAAAATATACAAACCAAATTAATGATAAATGGAATGACTAAATTCCAAAAAGAAAACAAACTTCTTACCTATCCTAATTTTTTTTGCTCTTTTTTTATTTTTTTTATATTCTAACTTTATTTGTACTATTATTACCTTTAAACACAAACTGTATCAAAGTACCCTCATATCCTAATTTAGGTAATTTTTATGAAAAAAATGGCATGACTTTGGACTTCTAAATAATTTTTACAAAAAGTTAACACCACTAATGGCTCTATAAGAACTTTTTTTTTCCTTTTTCTCTTTTTTTTTTTTATCATGTTGATGACTAACCTAAAATAAATACTCCATATTAAAATATAATCTTTGTATAATGTAAGCAATAAAATCAAAGAATATATAAAAAATAAAATGACTCAATAATTCAAAATAAACAAGTAATAGAAACAATATAGCAACCATATAACAAAATAATAGAATGTATATAGTGTCCTAACTTTTGGTATTTTTTAAAATATGGCATAGCTCTACCTTAGGCAAGCTTCCTATGGCTCTGAATACATTGGGTTAGAGTTTATTTATCTAAAGTTCCTAGACTATTCCTCACATCATCATCGGTTATAGACGGGTAACGCTTCACAATCCTCACTCATTACAGGCTACTAATGGAAATGTTCAATCGAGTGAAAGTATTCACTAGCAAATGCAAAGGTTATCACCTTACGAGAGTGTAACTACTTTACTTTCTCTTAAAAAGGAATAGAGCCCAAGTCTAGAGCTCATACATACGAGTGCATATGCAAAAGTGTACAAAGTGATATATTAATCAAAATATCATATATAAATCATAAGCACAAAATCAAAACAAAATAATAACTAACATACAATTTATTTTATTTATTAACTTGTATTTTTTTGAAAAATTAAAATAAAAGGAATTAAATTAAATATCAAATAAAATCAATTAGATCCAATAATTATTAATAGCGCATAATTAAAATTTTTAAGCTGACTCTCAAAAGTCTCTAGTAGAGTCACCATGCTATCGTAACGTATCAGTCCAGAGACTCAATCACTAAATGTAAAATATTTAAAAATTATGAAAAAATGTAAGGAGTCGCCACTAATATTTTTTATGGTGTAATTGATCACCTAAAAATTTTATCCTTTTAGTAAAACCATAAAACAGGTTTAAGGCCTTATTAAAAGGATAATTTTGGTATGCGAAAACAAGATTGAGTTCAGGAGTCGGTTACATATGGAGAAAGATTAGCACCCCTACAATGCCCATAAATTGGTATCAATTAATCATGCATTATTTGTATTAGATAAAATGGTTTCGATTTGAAATTTCTACCGTTTCAGATCTTCCCTAAGATTTTTGTCGTTCACTCTCCTTTAAAAAAATTTTTTTTGTTTTATTTTGTAGGGTTTGCTTAGCACTAGGTTTCTCACCGATTTGATAAAGACTGTAATTTTTTTTGTTTGTTTTTGGCTTTCAAGGGGTGGATATGGGTTTTGGTTAGCTGGCAGTGAGATTTCATGGAATATGGGTGCGCACTGAGGTTCCATCAAGCTAAATAGAGGATGCAATCTTGGTCTGGTTGCTATGTTCATTAGTAGTGAAACCCAGGGAAAGGGCTTGACAGTGAAAAGGTGTGGGGCTAAGGCTATAGAGCTAAGATGGCTTGGTCAAGGCCTATCTGGGTGCAAGGCCATAGAATAAGGGTGCTGGAGCTCTAGGTCTTGCAAGAAATTCTCCCTCAGATCTTGGTACCTACGTGTTTTCAATGATGGTGCCCCCCTCTCGGGTTTTAAAGTTATGAGGCTTTTATCAAAGAAAATTTTTGTTCTCATCTAAACGCCAATTTTGTAGGGTCATGGTTTGGTATGGCAGTATCGGGTAGTGGAGCAAGGACTGTGACTATTTGGTGCTAGCCTGGGCCAGTGGCTAGAATACTGTGCAAAGCCTTGGGCATTTGGCTTGTTGAAGAGTGACCATACAGAATTGGTAATGACTGTCGACCACTCATTTTTGTATTTTTCTTTCCTTTTTTTTTAATTTAATCTATAATTTAATTCTTTTCTTTTCTTTTTTGCAATTAATTTTTATTTTATATTTTTATAATTTAATTAATTATTTATTTATATTTTTTTGCAATTTTCAATTAATTAAACTAATTATAAATGATAATAACAATTAAATTCAAAACAACTAATTCAAAACAATTTTGAACAAATTTAATTTAATTTAACGCTTAACCGATTCAAATAAAAACATGCAAATCGAGCCTAAAAGATCAAACAAATTTAAATTAATATGGATAAAATTGAATGTCTACAATAAGAATAATGTTTATTTATATTGTTTACATTGTTTACAAAGCTAACCTCATGTACCCTATTACTTACATTGTTTCATAAAATAAGAATAATGCCTGAATGATTTGTTACCTTAAACGATAGCAACGACAATGACAATAGCTAGGATGGCAAGAACGGCGACAACAACTGCACTAACAACTATAATTTGATGGTGTAAGGTTTAGGATATGAATATCGAGAGATGTCAAAAGATTGGTAAACTAATTTTGGCAAAAATTTTATTACGAATACTAAATACTGCATTCATCATTTGACAAACGTAGTGCTTGTTAAATCTTTTTGTTTTTATTTTTATTTGTTAAACATTACGTTTATGATAACAAAAACTTCGTCTTTGTACATAGATTACATTTATAGTTTCAAAACATCGTGGATATCAAATAGTCAAACACTAAATTTATAATCCAACAAACATCATGTTTAATTAAAAGACTACATTTATAGGACCAAAACAAGGTGCTTGTGTGCTTGTTTATAAAGAAAAACGTAGTGTTTGAAAAGAAACATAGTACTTGTTTATAAATCAAACATTGTGTTTATTGTGTTAGAAGTGTCGTGTTTGTTATCAAACATTGCGTTTATATAACAAAAAAGTTGTGGTTGTTTATAATGATTTTTTTTGTCAAGGACTACATTTATAAATTTAGAAATGTCGTCTTTATTACAAATATATATATTTTCATAATATAGCACCTTATTCTTAAATAATAAAAATGAAAATCTTTTTTATATTGGTTGTTTAATGGTTGGCACATTTTCAATTTTAATAGCATAATTGATAGTTGAAATATTTGTAACATGTTATTCACATGTAATAAAGAATATTATAGTAAAAGGCTTTTATTAAGTAATTTGAGATTTTATAAATCAAACACAAAAAATTTAACATTCTTATAATTAAAAAAATCATTCTTTTTTACGAATTCATACTTTTTTGAAAATTATTTTCTCTCTTAAAATTTAAGATTTTGTGAACTAATGTTTTTCAAGTGTTTTGTAAAAGGTTTTTAGAGGGCTTTGAATTATGCCAAGAAGAAGGAAGTCAAAACAGTATTGGTGGAATTACAGCGAGATAGTTGTCAGTCCACCCCGTCACCCCAGCAGCCCAACCCATAAAAAGGAAGTTGTAGACCGTAGACTGCACTGTAGATAGTGGTTGTTGTTGATAAAACTGGAGCCATTGATCAAAGTGACTTTGAACACAAATAGCTAGTTTTCTTCAGCTTTTTGACTGACAGGGAACTCCTACTAGTTCCTCTGACCATCCTTGCACGCAATGCGAAGTATGATAATTATATGAAAGAGTCCAATTTCTCAATTCAACATTTTTTTCTCTCTTACTTTCCAGGATGCAAATAAGTCCATCCAGCATATTTTGCTATAGGAACCGAACAATTATTTGTGTGAACGAAGTTGTGAAACTGTGGAGGCACTTTCCACTTCTACATTGGGTTCATTATGGTCGAAAGAAGGTATCATACAATCCAAAATTAAGTCTCAAAATTTAAGAGCCTCACTTTATCTACCGCTCAAACCTCGCCCAAAGCCCACAAACTAGCTTTAAATGCTACAAAAATAAGGGTAATCTCAATTCACATACACCCTCTAATGAAATCCTTAAAGGCTGGTCTCAGAATGAGCCGTTGACAGGGTTTTGATAACAAGTGCCAACCACACTCCTCAAAAGATTAAGTCCCTATTACTCCTAGCACAAAACCAAATAATCTAAAAACCCGAAAAGAGGGTTTTTCTTTTTTTTTTTATAATTAGTGATCAGTCATTTCCGTGGGGTTCTCACAGAAAAATACTGCAAGGAATTATGTCTAGCCACGTCGAATCCCCGTGAAGTAGTTGAAGTCATGGTGCTGGACCCTAAGTTGCTTTAGCCAAGAATCTGCCACGCTTAGAAGCGACAGTAATCTTTCTTGGTCCCGTCCATAATTGCCCGAGACCCACACATTTCCTCCTTGCATCTTGTAAGTGGCCAAACCAAATGGCGAAAGAGAGATGCTCTCCCCTTCCTTTCGCTTCCTCTCCGGACTGTCAATGTCATCCTCCGGGTCCATATCTGCACAGAGAACAAACATCAGCAAGCAACTCAACGTTGTTAATTTTAACCAGTGACAGCGAAATGGACAGAAGTGAGCACCTTGGAAAGAAGATGATAAAGTGTGGTAGGTAAGGAAGCAAGTGGACAAGTCCTTTATGGTCCTTCCCATGGGAATGTGGTAAATTGGGTACCTGATATTATCGACATCAAATAATAAAATCACAAACTATATATTTTAATATAAAAAATTAAATAAATCACTAGACTAAATGATTTTTTTCCCCTTCTTATATCTGGTTATGAAATGCTTGTTTGTGAAAGAGAGGACGAGAGAGAGAAAGATACCAAGCAACTGCCATCCAACTAGCTGGAGAAAGATCTACGCTCCTCAATGACATCAAACCAGGGTATCTTCGAGATAATCCATTAATCTGTTAAAAAAGCGTACAATAACGCGTCAACAGAATCCAAATCCTTTCTTTATGTACAGGGACTTGAAGAAAGAAATTCTACCTTGAAACTAAATCTAATGGTCACAAGTAAGAGTGTAGTTTATCGAGATTGAATTTGAGTGGATACAAAATTAAGTTTGAACTTAGACTCAATTCCAAATTTGATATCTAAAACTCGATTCGAATTTCATTAATTTTTTTTTTAATTCGAATTCAATCCAAGATAAAAATCAAACTATTCAAACTCTTTTGATTATATTTGATTAACATGTAAAAATAAACTCGATTATTATATTTAACAAAAATTCAATTATTTATATTCAATCTCGAGTTCGAAATATTTTATTAATTAAAATAATTAAATATATTAAAAATATAAAAACTCGATTAGACTCATAAGTTATTCAAGTCAAGTATAAAAATATTTGAATTGGACATGATCGATAAATCGAATTATTCAAGTTCGAACTCAATTCGATAATAATCAAATCAAATTTAAGTTTTATTCAAATCAAATCTGAATAATTTACGAATACTAATATATCATTTACATTTTTAATCACAATGATCTCAAATTTTAAAACACGAATGCTAGAGGGTACCATTTATTCTTCTCTAGGACAACAGTGAAAGTTAACAGACAATTTTAGACGAAAAACAAGAACTTAGACTCATGACCAAGAAAGAATATGCAGAGAAACAAAAGCATGGAATTTCCATATTCAAAGGTCAAAAGTTTTATTTTTTCTTTATAAGATGCTTCCATAGCTGTTTTTTCTTTGTCCCAGGTTTTTTTTTTTTTTTTTTTTATCAATCATACAATTAGGAAAACCCTGAAAGCAATGAAATGCAAATCGAAGTAAAGAGACAATGAAATCAGTAAAAAAAAAGAGAGTATAAGTAAGGCTAAAAACAAAAAGAACAAGGAGTAAGAGAAAGTACCTTATCCATAAGTGGAACTCTTCCATAAGGAGTTGATGTCTCGAAATACTGAAAGCAAAGGTAACCCAACCTATCATTCACATGCGAAAGGCTGTCTTGCTCGGACCCTCCTTCCTCCGAAGAGCATCCGTCCCATCTCCATAGCTTGTCATTCTCGCTCTCATCACTGCATGAATCACTAAAAGATTCCCTCTCGCCATCACCCGATTCTGTCTCTTCCCTATAAAAATCAAAATTTTATCACATTTGTTTGCAATGAATTATTTACAAAATTCCCAGAGTTATATAATTGCATAATCTCGATCAAGGTATTAAACAATTCAATTGCGAACTACCAGAGGGAATTTTTTTTTTCCTTTAAAAAATTACCAGGGAATTTTTTTTGCTTAAAAAAAAATCACCTTAATCTGTTGACTGAAGGATTGCTGGTAAAGATTTGAATGGCAGAGAGATAAGGAACATAGTATTGGACTAGGGTTTCGCTGTTGTTCAAAACAATGGGAACTCCAGCCCCATACGCACTCCATTCATCATAACAATTCCAAAGATCACCCAATGTGAAATATTCAACCTTTTCTCTCTCCCAAGGGTGCCATAAACGATTAAGGTTTCTAATCTCACTCTGCAAAACATAAGTAATAATCATAATCAAAACATAAGTAATAATCATAATCACATAGGATGAAACCATAAATTAGAAACAGAAAAAAAAAAAAAAAAAAAAGACTGCTAACCTTGGGAAGGAATTGGGATTTGCCTGTTGGTGTTGTGCAATGGAGAAAGCACTCGAGGTTTGAATGCGTTGACCCTTTGACAAAAATCATGATTCCAACAAGGAAGAGAGAGAGAGAGAGAGGGAGTGAGAGATTGGTTTCTCCCTACCTCAACCCTGAAAACAGAGGAAGTAGAAGAAAACAGAGGAGAAAAAGAAAGAGGAGAAGGAGAAGGGGATAGACGGAGAAGGGAAGAGAGAAATTGTCGCGATTTGGTTTGATAACGCAAATTTGTGTCTAAAGAGAAATTCTAAATTTTAACGATTTGACAGCTAAATTTAAGGAAACAGAAAAGGAGAGAAAATATAAATAAATATCTCCCAATTCCAACAAGTCTTTGTTTATTTATTTATTTTTAATCCTTGTTGGTAGTAATCTAGTAGACAATGTTGTCTAATTCAAATCTTTCCCGTTCACAGATGGACTTGGATTACCCTTTCTCAGAAAAACTAAGAATGAAACAACAATCGAAAATAAAAGGGAATTCCACTCTTTTTTTGTTGAGTTTTTTTTTTTCTCTGTCTTTTAAACTCAAAAGAAAAACTCAAGCCTACTCTGCTTTGATCAACAATGAAGAAACAATTTTGTTCTCCTTTGGCAAAAAGTCACGACCATTCAACGTTTAATTTCTCTAGTTAAATCCAAAAACCCACTACGCAAAACCTGCCAAATCAAGTTGAAAACACCTAAATTTCACGCCAACTTAGAAAGAAAAACAAAGGGAAGTACGAGGAAACGAGGGAAAAAAAGAGGAACAATTTTATTTTTTTTTTTAATGACAGAAGCCAGAAAATTTTCTAAGTTTTCTTGGTTTCAACACAAACATGCGATTTTTGGACGAAAGATTTAATGGTTTTGGGTCTTTTCACTTGTCTAGAGAGGATTTCTCTAACCGATAATTAAAAAAAAAAAAAATTCGACTTTCACTAGTAAGAAGAGCAGAGCACAAACAAAACAGAGAGTGATAAGTGAAACAGAGGAGGGAAGAGAGATATATCAAATTTATCCTATCGGAACATAATTCTTGGTTTCCACCTTCTAGAAAGAACTAGCAGACAGAAAGAAATAATAATTAAGGCAGTTGATTTTCATATTTATAATTTACGCACTCTTATCCGTCTCTCTCCATCTCAGCTCTTGAAAGATATGCGTGCAGATTTTCTCTTTCTTTTAATCTTTATCTCTTTAGTTGTCTTCATTTTTTTCCTCTTTTTTTTGGATTTTATTGGGACCAAGTATAGTCTATGGCTTGCATGACAAGAAGCATTAAACATTTGCAAATTCATCAAGATTGAATTTTTGTAATGTTTGACAAGAAAGAATTCGAGAGTCCGTATTTATCCAAAATTTAAGATTTTTTTTTTTTTTTACTTATCACACATTTATTTCATTTATTATTTGCATCCGCTCCATATTTTTTAGAAAGAAAATTTCTAAAAAGTTATCTTCTCATATCTTTTACTAGTTTGTCGGTAAATTTATTTGTCAATTAATTAATCTAAATATTCAACGCTTAAAAATTTAAATGCAATTTTTAATTAGGATAAATTAAACTTTATGGTTGTAATAAAAATTTATTTTCTTTTTTTTAAATAAAAAGTCTCCGATCATACTAACTTATTAAACTCGCACATTTGTACCGGTTAAAATTTTATTATTAAATTAAGTTCAAATGAATTTATAGATATTAGCAAAAATAGTTGATCGATTGTAATTTTTATTATAACTATCATCTATAGGATGCCAATGAGTGGATTTTATTCAAATACCCCAACCCAATTAATAAGATTTATTTTTTAGAAAGAAAGGTTTAATGTGAGGATATCAATTATAGATATTAAAATTTAAAATTATTAAATATTATTTTTTAAGATAATTATATAAATTAATTGAATTAAATTATAAATATTTTAAATAGTTATTGATCGATTTAGATAATAAAATTAATTAATATTTGATACAATTTTAAATACAACATCAAGTTTAAAAGTTAAGAAATCCGTTACCTGAAACTCCGTAGGTATATGTTTAGTGGCTTTGATATGTTACGCACAAAACCTATAGTAAGTAAATTTTATGATTGATTTGTTTTCATGTTTAATTAATGATTACGTTTTGTTTCTTTGAATTTAGTGTGATAGGTTATTAATATTGGGTTTATTTCGTAAAATTAATGAGTTCATTTACTTTTTTTAATAAATTTATGAATGTTGTATTTAGTTAATTAAATTGTATTTCGAGTTAATTTAAATTTTTAATTAAATATTCATCAAATAAATAATTTTGAATAATTTATATTGATTTCAAGTACGTCATAAATAATTATCATAAAATTTTAATAGATTCTGATTCGAAGTTATCATCTAAGTTAAACGGTTAAGATTTCGGACTCGTCAAAACAAAAAAAGAAAGTAGGTACCGTAACACTGTTAGCATCATCTTAGCGTGTTGTTGTCATGACTCATGGACATCTTGGCTAAACGCGTTAACGTATCAGTAAAACCACTGTTAAAATATACGTGGGAAACAACGTGAAATGTCTTTAAAGTTAAAACTCGATTAAAAAAAAAAAGAAAGCGATTACCGTAGAAATATTCATTATTTAGCCACAAATAAAAAAGAAAAGAAAGATAATCACAAAAATTATAATAAGTAGACACGTGGATTACCATTACGGCATGGCCACATGATAGCGAAAAGAGGACCAAAATTTCTGTGTTTTGTTGTGAAAAGTAATATTTTTGCTCCCCATTTTGCCAGCCATAATTTCTTTTTGTCTGTGGCCAAAAAAAATTTTCTTCTATCTTGCTTTAATCGTTGGTCAAGTCCGGACTCGGTCCCGTATGAGATTTTTTTATTAATAAAAATATCTTTATTTAACTTTAATTTAGATATATTTTAAATTAATTTTAATTTCTTTTAATAGTGTCGAGTTTATTTGAGTAGTGCCAAATCGAATTTTAAACAAGGTTCTCAAAAGATGAGTCATGAAGAAGACCTTACCTCGTGCGGCGCAACCAATGAACACTTTTTATAGACACTTTTTTTTCGGTAATTTTTTAATATCATGTAGAAGTTAAAATATACAAAGTAAATATCCGTGCATATTAAAATTTTTTATTTTGTTATTTTTATTAATCAATTTTTTTACAAAATTTTTTTAATTAAAAAATAATAAAAGGTAAAAAAACTAATATTTATTAAAAAAATAAAGGTCACACATAATATCTAAATAGACTTCATATTCTCATAAAATATATTTAATAAAAAATAAAATCTAAAATATAAAATATAAAAAGCAAAATAAAAACAAAATAAAAAACAAAATAAAAAGCTCAGAAAAGGATATCACATTATACTCCCATTGAGTTTAAAGTGCTAATTTTGTCAATTAAAGTATCAAATATTAATTTTATTAATATAATATATATAAATATAAAATTAAATTAATAATAAAATATAACTTTTATATATATCATGAAATAAGTCAGGAGAAAATACTGCAAATAAACTTTCATCCCATTGTTTATTTTATAAAAAAAACTCGACCCATCTTAATTTAATCTCGATTTAAATAAAATTATCCTTTATTGAATTGAAATGGATTAAAATTCATCGAATATAAATTATTTTAACATCTCTATTAATGAGTAAATTTTGCCTAAAACTTTATCTAATTAAAAATAATAAAAAAAATGAAAGAGAAAAAAAAATCAAATGAAAGTATCACATGAACATCTCTATTAGTCTCATTTTTTTAACAAAATTAATTTAATAAGTAAGGCATAAAAAACAAGAAAAAGGAAAAAAGAAAAGGAAAAAAAATAGTTCATTGAGGTATTATGTGAATATTTCAATTAAGTTTAAAATATTAATTTTTTAAATTAAGGAATTAAATTATAATTTTATTAATTATAAAATTAAAAAATAAAAAGGAAAAATAATAAATAAATAAAGGAAAAAAAGGAAAAAGAAAAGGGAGAATATTGAGTTGCTACGTGGAAATTCAAATTGATTTTAAAATGTTAATATCTTAAATTAAGATATCAAATAATAACTATATTAATATAATACATATATATAAATATAAAATTAAATAGATAATAAAATATATACTTTTATATATAATGCAAGCTAATTTAAGCTAATTTGAGACAAAGTATCCTAAATTCGCTTTTGACTCATCTTTACTTTTTATAAAAAAAATGACCATACTTGACTCAATATAGATTTTTTATAATAACGCCCATATTGAATCGAGATGAATAGAAATTCATAAAATATTGATTGTTTCCATTTTTATCAATTAGCTCATTTTGTTGTAAAATTAATCTATTAAAAAACCAAAAAATACTTTCTTAAGATTAATATGGTAATATAATTACCGAGATGATCTTAATACTAAGATGATCTTATTATTTATGATTTGAAATCATTTTATTTAGTTAACAATTATTAATTCTTACGAATTAATAATCATTGTATTTGGTATTATTAAAAATCAAATATTATTTTTTTAAAAAGTATCAAAATAACCATTTTTATTGTAATAGTTATACAAGTTAATAATTTAAATGTTGTTTAAAGATAATAATTCATAAAACATACTAATATTTATTTATTTTATAATAAATAAAATTAAATTATTAAATTTATTTATTAAGTAAACTAATTTTTACAATAGAAATTATGTAAAAAATATTTAAATTAAAAAATAAAACTAATCTATTAAAATCATAAATAAAAAATAAAGATATTATATTATAGATAAAACATTAAAAAATAACACAATACACAAATTATTTTAAAATTTGTTATAATGAATATTAGTTTGAAAATAAAAAAAATTATATATAAAATAATTAATAACTTTAAAATGAATCAAAATTTTAATTCATATATTAAATGGATAATATTGACTATTATTAATTTTATATATCTCTTCATCTCGATGATAAAAGATTTTTACTCTTTTAGATGAGAATTAGATCATCCTTCAATATAGTAATTTAATCACTCTCGATGAGTCAAGATTACTGTTACGTAAAAGCACCAATGTTTACTAATCAAAATGATCTGTGATCTAATCATCATGCATGTGTAGATCACTATAATTTTTAGAGTGATTACCCTATACCAAATATTATCTAAAGAGAATAAACAAATGATAATGTTAATTAAACACTTTCATTGACATTATTTTCTTATAAAATTTACCTAATACAAAAAAAAAATGAAAAAAAATTAAAAATTAAAAAAATAGAAAAGAAAAATATTGTCCCATTTTGGATAAAAGTGAATCGTACCTATCATAGATGAATTATTTTTTCATCCTTACTCATTGGCTTCTTTGATACAAAATTTATGTAATTAAAAAGCAAAAAGAAAAAAAATTTAGGGTGTCATGTGACCAATTCGATTAGATTTTTTTTAAACAAATTTATCTAAACTAAAAACATAAAATGACAAAAATGAAAAAGAAAGTAAGAAAGTAAAAAAGTAAAAGAAAAAGGTCACGTCAGTATTTTAAATGAAGATCAAATAAAAATCAAAATAAGTAAAATTTATAAAATGAAAAGATAGATTAAATCTTAATTATATATAAATATAGTATTTTTTTACAAAACTAAAATATTAAACAAAAGTCAAAATAAGTAAAATTTATAAAATGAAAAGATAGATTAAATCTTAATTATGTATAAATATAATATTTTTACAAAACTAAAATATTAAATAGTAAGTTTATTAATATAATAATCTATAAAAAAATGAAATCAATAATTAAAAAAACATAATTTTACAGGGTAAGACATAAAATCCTATAAAACTTCATTCAATCGAACCTTGATTTAAAAAAAAAAAAAAAAACTTCAATCTAATTCCATTTTTTTTTTTAAATTCAGACATATTGGATTGGACCAAATATAAACTTATAAGATATGGGTTGTTTTGTCATCCTTATATTTAATGAGTTTTTTCTTATAAAATTTATTTAATTAAAAAAAATCAAAAACTTTTTTAAAAAGCAAAGGAAATGATGAGAAAAAATAAAAGCTATTGGATATGGACGAATGAAAATTCATAGGATA